CAAGTCCACAGCCCCTTTTCAGACTCATGCAGCCACAAACAATGATGCAAAATGCAGGAAGATCACAGGCTGGTGGGTGAATAGTCTTGAGGATCAAATGGCAATGGAAGCATCACAGGGGTGGCGTAGCTCCCCAAGTGGATCAAAAGCTGGAAGGTGAAGCAGAAAGAGAGAGAAGTTCCCAAGATACTTCTTATGAGAAGACCACGCCCACAAGGAGGCACCATCAGACTGGGATCTTACTGACAGGCTAGACTCCCCCCATATCTTCTTATGGGTGCCATGTTGGCACACAAAAAATGGTCACAATGGAGTAAGAGTTTCTTCAAAACTGGTGCTGGCAAAATCAGATATCCCATCTTCAGGAGAATGCAACAGGATCCATACCTTACCCCATGTACAAAACAAATTCAAGAGGGATCAAAGACCTAGATGTAAAGCCCAGAGCAATGAAGCTCAATGAGAAAATAGAGACAAGCTAAAGGGCACAGACACCAGCAAACATAATGAGGGAAGTACACCTGGTAGGCTAACCTCCTGAAACTGCGCCGCAGCAGGAGACTTCATCAAGAGTAAATGAACGAGAACCCACGGAGGGGAAATGCCAACAGACATGGAGAAATGCTCATGCTTCCTAGCTATCCAGGAGATACACATCAAAACAACAACGAGACACCACCTTACATCAACAATGACAGCCAGATTTGAAAATGAAAAACATAAAATAAATGCTGGGGAGGATGTGGAGAGACTTGAACCTTCATTCACTGCTGGAGGGACTGTCTTTAGTGATTGACTAATTTCACTTAGCATAATTATCTGAGTTGATCCATGCCATTGAGGTGGTTTCCTTATTTATTTTTTTATGGAGAGAGAAATGGGCTGAGAAGAACCACTGTAGAAGATGGCTCTTCCACAAACTGCTGGGAATAGAGATGCCATACCACCTAGCAATCCTCCTCCTGAGCATATACCCTAAAGAAGAGCCCCAGCCTGAACAGACACATGCACATCCATGTTCATCATAGCACTGTTCACAACAGCAAGATAGAAAAAATCTGAATACTCATCAGGAGAAGGAGTGGATAATGGAATTTTGATACATAAACACAACGGAATTCTAGCCAATGTTAAAAAAAAAAAAAAAGGATACCATAAAGCACCTCATGGCATGGATCGTCCTGGTGACCATCACACTGTGTGAAATTACTAGTCAATGACAAAATGCAAACATTGTATGAGATCATGATTACAAAGGGGAGAATGGGGGGGGGGGGCGCGTTTCATACTAAAAGACACAGACTTTGCAGGTTACCAAGTAAAGAAAATACATGTGAGGGAAGATGCAGCCACAGCTCCAGGGTTGACAGGGATTAACTTGAGTGAAGGGGAAGACAGCAATCAATAATCCAGAAGGGAAAATCAAAGAGGAAGGGAAGCTTCTGTGGGTTTAGAAGTCGCTTAAATCACAACATGAAACTGATGATCTGAATGTAAGCCCCCACCTAACTCACAATTAAAAAATGATTACAATCAAGAAAGCTTCTTGGTGTCATTCTACTGTATTTCCCCGAAAGTAAGACATCCCCTGAAAATAAGACCTACTTACAGTTTGCCTCTCGCTGAAATATAAGGCATCCCCCTGAAAATAAGACCTCGCCAATAATAAGGCCCCCCGAAGCTACCGTAACTGGACTCTGGACCGTAGCAGTGGACGCCGTTGCGCAGTTCACCATTAGTCACAGCACAGCCAGAGCAGACAGAAGTGCGAGGTCTCTTAATTAGAGAGCCAGTGCTGCTGCCAGGACAAGCTGCTGCCTGCTGCTTGCTCTGCCCTGGCGGAGTCTGGCTGACTCACAATTAGACAGTGAGTTGCGTGGGGCAGGAGTCGGGCACATTGTGTGGACACACAAGGGTGACTAAGGTAGGGGTGAAATGTCTGATAAAGGGGTAGGAGGGATGTCTGGTGAAGGTGTTCACTGGCACAGGGGTGGGGGGAGGAGGATCACTTAAAATGGCACTGCGGTTATCACTTAAAATGACAGGAGGATCAGAAGGGGTTACAAAATGGTAATCCCCGCCCCCCTCTGATTCTCCTGTGTCATTTTGATTCCCCCCTCTGATCTTCCTGTGTCATTTTAAGTGATCCCCCCCCACCCCACCCTGATACCCCAGTGTCATTTTTTTCTACCCCTAGACATGAGTGCAAAAAGAAAAAGAAAAAGCTCTTGGGGCCAAAATCTTACTGCTTTCTGCAACGAGAAGATGTTGAGTATCTGACCGGTCCGAAAATGGAGAGCAGAGTATGGTAAGCTCATTGAACAAGTGGACAAGGGAAATGCTAAAGTGTGGATCAGGTCGGCAACCATGATTTTCCGAGCTGGAAGACCTGATCTGTGAATGCGCTGTTGATAGGCTTTGGTTGTGAATAGTGCTCAGATTCAAGAATTTGCCCTTGCAATGGCACCACAGTTTGACACAGCCCCCAAAGACATCAAAGCATCACAACACTGGCTGGAAATTTTCCTTCAGCGAAGTGAACTGTCTTTAGGAAGATCCACAACATTGTTTAGGCTGGAAGATGCTGAAGTTATTAAGGGAGCACTTGCATTCAAGTCCTTTATTGATGATGCTGACTTCTCTAAATACAATCTTTCCAACATGATTGCTATGGATGAAACTGCAGTGTTTAAGGGTCAATTATCTCAAACAACAATTGAACAGGGGGGTGCCTCCTCAGTGTACATTCCCTCCACTGCTTACAAAAGTGCACGTGTTTCCTGTATTTTGGCAATTCGTCTGGATGGCACTAAAATCATTTCTAAGGGCAAGAAGGAAAAGATTGAAAGTGTTTTGGACATTTTTATTCTTGAAACTGAAAAAGCCTGGGCCACACAAGCAGTTATAAAGAAGTGGGTCGATTTAATGCTGCCGCTTGTTATGCGAGGGAGCCAAAGAGGTCTGCTAGTCTGGGATGCAGCCAGCACTCACCACTCTAAAGACATGAAGTCATTTCTTCACGAAAGAAAAATGGATCAAATAATGATTCCCGCAGGACGGCCTATCTCCAGACTCTTGATATTGCAATAAACAAGCCATTCAAGGACAATTTGCGCATGGAAATTAATGACTACTTTGAAAATAGAGTGGAGGGAAATCAGCATGGAAACTTTGTGAAACCTAAACTGCAAGAGGTTGTGACTTGGGTGAAGAATTCATTGGAGAAAATCACTGACAGTTGCATTGCAAATGCACTACGAGCAGGCTATCTTGACAAGAAGTACTCATTTAAGGACAGTGCTATTGCTAAACATGAGAGATTTGGCCCACTGATTCTGAAAGAAATGGAGTCACAAGAAATTCACCAGGAAATTCAGGATTTGGATTGTTATGATGATGTTACAGAAGATAATGACATGACTGTCATTGAATAAATAAGTACATGTACCATAGATTGTTGTACATGGAAATAATGGTAGTAACAAGAAATTCTTGATACTGAGGTTGTTTGTCTGGTTATGCTGGTTTGTGATGACAACTACTACCATACCGTATACAGGTAATAAATTTCCCTTTTTTTGTTGTTCAACAGCAAATGTGTACCGTATTCTTCTTCATGGAAAAATAAGACATCCCCTGAAAATAAGACCAAGAGCATCTTTGGGAACAAAAATTAATATGACACTGTCTTATTTTCGGGGAAACAGGGTATTCTCTTAACACATGGGGTCGCCATGAGTCAGAATCAGCTCTGTGGCAACCAACAATAAAGGGGCTCTCTGTATTCAAACGACGTAAGAAGATCTCACTCAATAAACTTATTATGTAACCAAAGAATCTGTACCCAAAATACCTAGACTTATGAATTAAAAAAAAAGACTTCTTATTGAATCAATACAAAACTTTTCAAAGGGAAGAAAGAAAAATAAAAACACTGTTAGGCTGTCCTAGTGTGTCTGACCGTACCTAGAACAGAGGGAAGCACGGCTCAGCCCCTGCCATCCTCGCAATCGTTATGTTTCGGTTCATTGTTTCTGCTACTGGATCAATCCAATGAAAAGGGGATTGAAAATAGCAAACCCAGGAGCAGTGCTTTATAAGTAATCGAGGAAATGCCTTAGGGGTGAGGGGGACTTACTCATTTAACTGACAAGAGATGTTGCTAAGATGTCACCGAGCTACCCCTATCTACAAGCGGTCATTACCATTTCAATGTTAACCGTAAAAACCGGAAATCTCTTCCCCAAGTCAGAGATCACTCAACAGTGGGTACTTTTCTGCATAAGAACACCAACAGCTTAATGCTGGAATAAAACTTTTCTAGGCTAATCCGGTGACAAAGTCATGTCCCCGCCTTAGGACTCAGAAGGTGTGACCGCTCGCTCAGCACGTCCAAAGGCTCGACAGGCATCTACGCTGAGACGATCCAGGGGCTTGGGGAGAAACATGGAACTGGGCCCAGGGCTTCCACGGGATGGGAAGTAGCAGAAAGGTGCGCGCCCCGTCCACCCCGTCCCGCAGCCAGGCATTGCGG